AAATATCATTTTGATTAGTAACATAAAATATTTTCTTTTGAAAAAAAGTTAATTTATGTACAACCGTGTATGTATGTATGTGTTTTCATATGTATGTATATCACATAGAAAAGAAGAAAAACCCATGTTTATAAGTACACCTAATAAAACCATCAAATGGTTTACAAAAACGCCATTATTTTATTAAAACAAAAATCCTTACTTAATATTATGAATCCGAAAGTGAGTTTGTTTGTTTGCTACGCTTTCACGCTTTAACTACTCAACCGATTATCATGAAATTTTGTACACTGCTGTCATTTAGCCCAACTTAAAATATAGGATAAATTTAATCTCGATTAGACAAGGGGCCGTGGCACCTCCAATAGAAACGGAATTTTTCATATTGCATTACTCAGGAAATATTTTTGATAGATTACTGGAACTTGGTATGGATATACTACATATGTATGTAAAATCATTACTTACTCATGGATGAGGGCTGCCACCCTTTAAAAAAATCAAATTCAACTTCAATTAAGGGAGTTCTTTATTTCAAAATTATTTTAAAAAATGGATGTCAAGAGGCTTAAAAAAGCTGTAGTTCGAATATATTTTGAAAAGGGTTGCCACCTGTTTGAAAAGTTAAATTTAAATTAATTATACGCAAGCTATCTGAAGAAATAATATATGGTTGCCTAACGAAATATTGTTAAGAAACTTTTAGTTTGAAAGTTTTGCATAATAACCGTTGGGATTATTATTATTATTATTATTAATGTTTAAGTCTTTCACAGGGATTGCCACCTTTTTAAAAATTTAATTCGGCCGTTTTCGAGCTTTGCGAACACATATAAAACGGCTTTCAAAATATATATTAGTATAGAAGATTGGTATGAATCTAAATGGTTTTGAATATGTATCACATAGGTTGCCATCTTTCTAAAAGGTTAAGTTCAAACTATTCAATAATTTAAATGAGTTATTATAATATGGGTATCAATCGAAATGGATTTTAAAGGGCTTCATTTCAATACTACATGTAAGAGGTTTCCATCTGTTTAAAATCTCGAATTCAGTTCAGGGGATACGTTAATTGAAAAAGTATGACAAAGAAAGTTTTAGTTTGAAAATATTTTGAAGATGGTTAAACAAATTTTAAACCTCCTGTTTTCTAATTGAGTTTTCTTGAACTAAATTTTATTCAATGTATCACGTAGAAATTTCAATGTACACTCAGCGAAGCGGGTGAGCGCGATCTAGTATAATATAAAAATTTAAATTTGCATGCATCGCTTTTTAAATGCTTTACTTGAGCGCTCGCCAAGGGCGTCTTTGAAGCAGCAAGGGAGCGCTTCTTTCTAATGACACACAATGTTAAAATAAAATGAAGTGTGAAGTAAGACAACTTTTTTCAAAATTTAATTTTGATGCATAAATGCCTCTTAGAGCACCTGCATCAAAAAGTAAATTAAATTAAAGTAATTAAATATATATACCTACATTATTTTAGCGGTTAGGGCTCGGTATGACGAATTTCTCCGATGCTCCTCGTTATTTGGAAATTTGAAAAATTGGAAGATAGAAGATCTTTTCCTAACAAAGACAAAACCTATTTACACATAAAGCGGTGTGGTATTTTATATGTTGGCCGAATCCAATAAAGCACGTTATTCGATTCCCTTCTATGCTGATTGACGACAATTGGAAATGCCAACTGCTGCCAAGTCCTTTTCTAACTGGTATTTTTATCCTCTGCCACCACCAACGGCCGCAGCGCTTCTCATAGATTTACAAAATTTTTTTCTTTTTTTGTTAATTTTTCATAAGAGTTGTTTTTAAATAAAAATTTGTGAAACCGCTCCTGAATTTTGAAAAGTAAAATTGTCATTCTGAGTACATTCTCTTATCGGATCTCTCTTTCTTTTTTCAATATTTCGGCACTCTGATGTTGGGGAATGTACTCTGAATGTACTAGAAATATAGAAGTATTACATGTATGACTAAAAGTATTTCCTGTGAAATTTAGAGATAACATTTTTTTCGTTTCGATTAAAATTTCTTTTTGAAAAGCATGATACATTTATGTGCTATATTGACGGTGCTAAATATCATGTAAAAGAATTAGTTTTTAGAAAATTATTAAAGTAAAATCAATAGAAAGAAGACATAAATGGATTTTCCCTTCCATATAAAATTTGCATTTTAAGTTTACTAGAAACACGCATTGTTTTCGAAAGGGTGAATATACATGCTATGTAAGTACATATGTGTGTATGTATGTATGTACATAAAATTATAACAAAAGAGATTAATGTACCATCAGCCATGACAATTGAAATATTTTTTCTGGAGAAAGGGTTTTTCTATAAGAATGAAGTATGTATATACATATGTATGTATGTACATAAGTTACTAAGCAATTTTGTTCTCAAACTAAGTCAAAATAAGTAAATACATACATACATACATATGTATTAGAGGGCTGCATGAATTCATTCAAAACGGCTTATGAATTATTCACACACAAAACGAATGAATGATTTTTGGCTTAAATTTTTTTTGAATTTGAGTGAATACCTGTTTTGATATATGTGTCAACATTACAATATTCAAACAAAGTGAAAATGAATTGAATTGAAATGACAATTTTTTGTATGAATATCCAAAAAACTTTTTTCTCTGCACATATGTTAAACATATATATGTATGTATGTATTGCTGCGCTCCTATTACAATAGGAACAAACTTGTTTGTAGAAAAAATCTTTTACCGAAATGAGTTTGGACGATTTGAATGTTTTCCATTCATTCATTCCCATTCTTCCATTTGAAGGTAGAAAATTTAAAACAAAATGTATATTCATAACTTACAAAATTCCAAACGCTGAGTGTTTTGCATGTGAAGTAAAATATGCAAATCTACTGTACTCTGTTTGGCTAGAAGTTGGAATGAATTCATGCAGCCCTCTAATATGTAAGTACAACAAAAAAAAGTGGCTAGAAAATTCTCCATGATACAAATTTGTTCAACGGCAGATTTCAATGTGCGTACATGCATTATTAGAAAAAATTAATTCTAATAACTGTATGTAGAGCAATTTATTAAGAGTCTTAGTTAATACGTATAAGCTAGTTTGTAGCAGAACCGCATGTGACCTTTAAAAAAGATCAGATAGCAATTGTAGAGTTAACTTTATACCACAAGTGCTGTGTCTGTCTGTCCGAATGAGTGTTTCAATGTGTGCACGCTCAACTCCACTACATAACTGCATACAAAGTTCATGAGAACATTTGGTTATAAAAAAAAAAAAATCGCATGCCGACTGTTTCCAATGGCTCGTGAGTTGGCGCATTCACTTTTCCTGTTCAACGCAGTGCTTAGTCATTATATATAACTTAATATCTATGGATGCATGTAGTTCATGCGAACTGAACATACATATGTACATACAGTCAATCAATAAAGTTTAGGTACAGCGAATTTTTGCGGGCAACTAGTTTTTAAATATTTTATTTTTCGCAAATTTTTTACATAAATAGGGCTAATTCTACAACAAAAACCCCAATAATCAGATTTCCAAACCTAATGCAAAATTACAGAATATTCTGCAAAATTTCATTCAAATGTGTATTGCACTTTTTATTTACACTCTTTAGAAAAAAATTAACGAACATTATTTTGTATGGAGAAATTGAGCGACACCTTCAACAGAAAAATTTGCCAAAAATCAATGGGAAGTCCTAGCTACCTTAGACTTGCACTTTGTTATACTGAAATTGTGCGGGCTAAAAAACTGCATACTAAACTTTTTTCTAAAGAGTGTAAATAAAAAGTGCAACATTTGAATGAAAATTTGCTGAATTTTCCTTGATTTTGCACAAGGTTTGGAACGCTGATTTTTGATGGATTTTTAAAAAATTTGCGTAAAATAAAATATTTAAAAATTGTTGCTCGTATTGCCAAAAATTCGCTGTACCTTAACTTTATTGACTGAAACAGACAATTGCGCATTTAGCATTTACGTCATTGCCAATATTTTACTAATACTTATTAATTAAGTTCATACATAAATCCATTCTTGCATGATAACTTATTTTTGTAACTTTTTCTAAAAATTTTTCGTTTTTTATATGTACTTTCAGGTATTAAGTGTCCAGTATGTAACAAATTTGTGTTGCCCGACGATATTGAATGCCATTTAGTTATGTGCCTCACAAAGCCGCGACTGTCATACAATGGTGAGTGTGTTTATAATTGATTGCATATAACAGACATAGCAACAATGAGATCGTATCTTGTAATTAATGCATGTAAAATCGAGTGTATTAAACGTGTTATTTTTTTTTTGTAATTTATAAACACGTATATTAAAACTGCATACCCAGTCATTGTGCAGAAAACTTCATTAGCTATCGAAGTAGTTTTATTAATTTAATTTATGCAAATGAGGGAAATTAAAAAAAAAAATATTTTTTTTACATTTTTTAACTGTGTAAAGTAGCTATTACATAATAAAAATTTCCAGCAATTGTAAACAAGCTCTCACTCATTATTTATCTTCTCACACTCTTACTCATTATTATTCAATAGAGTTGCTCTATAATTAATTTCAAGTTTCTGTCACGGCTTTGTTAAAATATGTATTACTCCTCATGTTTTCCTTTCAATCATTGTTTTTAAAAAGCAGTAAACAATTTTAAAAATTGTACTTAACTTCTAGCAATAATATAATAATAACCGGTAGTTGTAGGAACTTAAAGACAGGTTTTTAGAACTAAACTCAAATTTGTACTTGAATAGGCACATTGTCATTTTTTAAAACCCGCGCTTAAAGCTT